ATAATAAGACGATAGAATTAGGGTTTGGTCAATAACCTCACCCCTTTGCAGTCTGTTCAATGGATATTTTCTGACTGATTATATTCACAGTAGTATCTCCCTTTTCCACAGCACCAAATACGAGAATCCCCTGAACATGTTCTCAAAATTCCAAGTATGCTCACCATCCTTAAGGGATTGTTTACTTGGATATGGAGTATGGCTTACAGGAGAAAACAAAACATGGGAGACAGAAACAGAGAGTTGACAGCTAATGACTTAAGGCAATAAAAATGAGAAAAGACACGTGGGCACATCAGAGGAGGAGAAAACGCAGGGTTGCAAATGCAAAGCTTGCTTTCACCCTCACATGTCAAAGCATTGCTTTCTAGTGGCTTCATTCCTGTTTTCTGCTTGAACAGGGGGCTGGACTAGAAGACCTCCAAGGTCCCTTCCAGCTCTATTCTGATTCTTTTTATATATATAATATTTTATTAGTTTTCTAATTTTACAATTAAGTATTTAAAAAGCAATGTGGTGACTGAGTTAATCAATAGTTCAATAACATACATAAATCTTTAGTATAAATCTCAACTTACAATATCAGATATTTCCTCTCTTTTTCCCTTAACATCTACTATCTCATATTAGGCTAATACAATTATTATTAACTAAGTAAAAACATCTTTGTTACATTTATCAATAATTTTTAGCTTATACATATCTTAATTGTGTTTGCATTCAATCCTTAAAAACAATCAATGTCCTGTTATTGATTTTTTTTCCCAAGCTTTAATTTCCCATCAATATTCAAATTAATATTTGGTATTTATAATTTCCAAGCTTTAGGTAACCAAAGTTTCCCTTATCTCAACTTCTTCGTTTTTCCCTTTTCATAACAAAATCTAATATTCTAAATATACATCGTATCTATTTGAATGTAGTCTTGTTCTGTTTTCTAAAAGTTATCTATTTTCCACCATATTAAACCATCTAATTAATAATACAGTATCCCCTCTAATAATTAAAAACCATTATATGTATTGTCTGGGTTAACCAATAAATCAGTAATATACATAATTTTTTTGTTTAGATCTAATTTTTAAAAGCTCAAATACTCCCTCTCTTTTTCTGGTATATCTATTATCTCATAATGGGCAAACAGAATTTTTATTTTCAACTGATTTCCAAATATGTTATATTAGGTGACCAAAATTTCTCTTATTATTCAATTATAATGTTACTTTCTTTTCTAAAAAATATCTATTTTCCATCATATTCAACCCTCTAATTAGTAATATGAAATCCCCTCTAATAAATCAAAATCCTTATTTTCTTCAGCCTTATTCTGGCTTTCTTCCTTTGCCAACTAACCTTTCAAGTCAGTGCTTTTGAATCATCAAATAGTTCTCCCTCTATTATTATATATATTATTTGGAATAAGAAAGACCATTTGGTTGCAGTTTTTTGGAAAGAACTAGCCCATTTGTATTTATTAGATCACCTCCCTATTACTCCAATTTCACACAATTGCCCTGATAGGTTTATCTTCCCTTCAATCTGTTCTTCTTCCTTTCCCTCAAATTTCTTCTGATTTTTGTAAAAAGTCTTTTCCATTTTCAGTGTTGTCACTCCTTGTTCTGATTTTTCGGTTGGCTGGATCTGTTGGTCAATTGAGTCCTCTGTCTTAGTGTTTAGTTGTTCCACTTCTCCTGTTATTTTCTGCATTGTTAGTTCTTTGGTTGTAGTCAAGATCTGGGTTTGTATATTTAAGCTGGCATCTTGTTCCTTTATGTTGCATCTTATTTTGTCACAAGCTGATAAAATAGTTTTGTATATTGATTTCAACATGGAAAATATTTTTTCCTGATCTTCATCTGTATTCTCTTGATAGTATGTTGTTGAAGACTTTAGAATCAAACATTAAAAATAGTTTTTTGTTTTTTATAGCTAGGTATGGGACATCTATTTCACATGTTATAGGTGGTCTTTATAGTAGAAATTGTTTGTCAAGTAAGAGTTTATAGTCTAAGGTATTCCATTATCTCTTATAATAACATACACTTCTCGTGTAAAGAAATAGGAAAGCAATTCCCCACATATAGCTCTGAAAGTCAGTAAAAGTTTACATTCATAGTTCAAACAAGCCAGATATGCCGCCCAGAAGTTCCTTTTTTGCAGATGAATTTTTCACAGGTGGTAGCTGTCAAAGTCAAAGAAGTCTTTTCTGGAGTCTGGGCTTCAAGCCAAGTCTCTTTTAGGCAATAACAAGTTTAATACCACACTTTGCCACAAGATGTCACCAATGTCATTTAAAGCTTTTTAAGTCCAAAGTTTTATGATAGTTTTTCAAGTCTTATTTCTTTTTTAGATAAAAAGGAACACTTTTAGTCCCCAAGTTTCAAAAACATATACATCCAATTAGATTAAAATTGTTCTTATTGTTGCTCTGTTTCTCCTGGGTAGTTAATCGCCGCTGTTTTTAGAGGGTGGAGTAGAAATTCCCTCTCTCCTCACAAGGGGAAAAATACTTTGGGCAGCTTTTATAGGAAAAAATGCTTAAAGAGAAGATCATATCTCACCCAGTTTCATCTATGTTGCTTTAAAGGTTCTTGGTGGCGATTTTGATTTCGGCTGTCAGCAGCTTAGTGACAAGCCATATTACTATGGCCGGTCTTTCCCCTGCCAGTTTGGAGGGCTTCCCCAGATCCAACGGAAGGGTTGCCGCCCTCCTGTGATCAAGGTGGGGTCCCTTCCTTGCTCGTCACCCCTACAGGGCAACTTTCAACCCTTTCCAGGGTCCCCCAGTGGGACGAAATCTGATGTTAAAGACGGAGCTCGTCTTCCAGAGTCCGTGGTACCACGATGGCATACCGGCAGTCCCCCAGCTCTATTCTGATTCTGATGCATGTCAACTGATGGTACAACTGGCCATCTGGACATCCTCTTCCCTAGGCTGCATCTGAAATGTGGGACAAAAGAATGTGCAGTTCAAAAACCAATTCTTAAAATATTTGTTTGTGAATATTAATAATCAAAGACCCTTTTGCCTTTTATGATAAGTTCCAAGGCTACATATTTATAGCCAGAAGTAACATAAGCTGCTTGAAACTGGAAGAAAGATTTGTAGTCTTGTTCTCAAACTTCCTGTTGCTAAAGTTGTCCTTAGATTTTCAGTAGTCAACATACATAAGAATTTATAGGTAATTGTATGTTTTTATATAAAATTCACAGACTTGGCACTTCTTTTTTAATTGAACATTTTAAAAAATTGAATAAATAAACAAAAAGAGAGAGAAGAGATATTGAAAGTAGGCTACATAAAATATAAAAAGGGATTTTACAAGCATCATAGAAATTATTTCATGATTGTGTTATATCATTTAAAAAAAATAAAAATAAGTACTGAGCTCTAAGAATATAAATGCCAAAAACAGTCGTCATCACAGCAGAAATCATAAAAGATTAGAAAATCCTATAAAGCTGAAATATGAAGACTTTTTGTAAGAGGAAACCAAAATTTTGGCTATGGTACAAATCTGTATATAAAATTGTAATCGAGAAAACATTTCAAAAGTTAAATTCTTTGCCAGATTTACTTTTAAGTAAAAAAATTATTTTAGACCCTGAAGCATATTTCTATAACCAGAGTTGAGTTCTGCTTTTAATGAATATTACAATAATAACTTTCTTCTTTAATTCATGTAAGATGTTATCTATTTTTCCTTCTTCACTTCTGCTTAAGGATTTCTTCCAAGCACCAAAATTTGGCTTTTGTACAACACTAGCTGCTGTATTCCTGCAAGGTTTCTCACAAATCATTAGGATTTCTGTTACAGGAAATAGCAGTACATGAAGATCCGAATGTGTGACTTTGTGCTTTTTTAAAAAAGATGTATTCTTCTAAATATGCAAGTTTATATACTGCTTTCCAAATTTGGAAGTCTCTTTCAAGTATTAAGATTTCATTAAGGATTCTTCGCAATCCTTGAGGAAAGGGAGCAGCTTAAAACAATCTTGAATAAATAAATACATAAACAATATAAACCTATAACAAATAAAACCACAAGGATGCACATTCTCATTCTGTTTCCTATACTGTACTCTATCCCCAAATACCCTCTAGCTTTTCTGAAAGATCTGAAATGGAAATATAAGAAATATAAGTGCCATGACATAGCTCTGCTCTATCAGGAACCTGGGTAAAGCAAGATCCTGATAACTAAATTTCCTCTTTAGTTTTTTGGAGTAAACTCTAGATAGGAATGTAACATATGTCCCAATCACCTTTCTGACTTAATAGGTGAACACTGCTTGACTAGATCTCTAATAGCTTGGAAACAAGATATAGAGGAAATAAGGTTTACAGTCTTAGATATGGAGCCCAAGTAGCGTGTTCCATCAAGGGATCCAAAACCAAATTCCATGTTAAATTCCAAATTATACATGCACTTTTATTCAAAGCTGAAAAGCAGCTTTTAAAAGTGGGCAGTTTACAGTAGATAAACAATATGAAAGAAACATTTTCTTGTTCACCATTTTTTCCTCATTCAGCCACTCTAACCACGCATAGTATTTCAGATGTACAGAGACTTCTTCTTCCAGATTCTCTTGGTTGCCTCGGCATGTGTGTGTACGGCCATTTTCAACAAAAAGGATGCATATACACACTCATGACTAAAGAGTCATGAGCAACGACCTCAGAATGCAGCAACCATCATAAATACATGCCTGTTGCCAAGGGCCCTAATTTTGATCATGTGGGGTGGTGCTACAACAGTCATTAAGTCTGAGGCCTGGTCATATGTGACTTTTTTCAGTTCTGTTGTAACTTCGAACATTCACTGAACAAATGGTTTTAAGTTCAGGGTTATCTGTAGTTCCATGTTCCAAATTCTTTTTAATATTCCGTGAGTTACTTATCAGTGTGAAAACCTGGCTCGCAGATCCCACAGTCTCTTGATTCCTGCTAGTTGCCTAATCCATGACCCTTTCATTTTCTCTCTTTTTCTGCCTCTTAGGGACTAGCTGCACATTACCCCAAGATACGCTTCATCATGGCATGCCTGCACGAGACCCGCACACCTTCCCCCTCCTTTGGCAGTTTCAACACTATCTTGACAGAGAGTTCCCTCCGAAAGTTGGATCCAGATGCCTCAGACTGCACCCCTGAGAAGGACTTGACGCCCACACAGTGTGTGTTGCGAGACGTCTTGCCCATAGATGGGAGTGGAGGGGGGGGCAGCGGACACAGTCCCACCCCCAGCGAGGAGACCCACGAACAGTTTGCCAACAGTGTGCTGCAGCTCCATGAGAATGAAGCTGGTAATGGCGGGGGAGGTGGAGCTGGCGCTGCAGGAGCTGGAGTGGGGAATCCTGAAGTCCGGCCCACCCGCTACCATGCTGACCAAGTACGGATCCACTGCCAGACAGGAAGTGGCTTTCTGGAAGGGCTTTTTGGTTGCCTCAAACCTGTCTGGACCATGATTGGCAAAGCATATTCCACCGAACACAAACAGCAACAGGAAGGTGAGGAACACGGAGACCACCGGAAGCAAGAGTGGGCAGTGGCCCATTGAAAGAATCCTACAATCATGACTTCTGACTGTAATCCATGAAAGGAAGCCCATTGCTGAGTGTTGATTTCCATATGGAAAGGTCTAAGAGTTCAGTTCACACAATGTCCAGACGGAGCTGGGAAAGACCCTTCTTTAAATCACGGAGAACTCTTTCCAGACATGCCTACCAGGAGTAGGGAATTTGAAGCCCCCCCCCCAATAGCCTTCAAATTTCAGTTCTCATCAGTCCAGTATACATTAGCAAACAGAAAGGATTTTCATGAATTTGGTTTCAAAACATCCGGAGGATATAGCAGTCTGATGTGAACAATATGGGTTTAGGTGTTTGATTCAGTGTAAAGAATTTTCTGCATTCCTATTTACAACATAAGTTCCCAAATGCAATCGGCAATTCAATCAGTCAATGGGGAACTTAGGACTCAGTTTGGATTAAGCTTTCTCACAGTGTCAGTCATTTGTAGCATGATTCTTTTCACCCACTGCTTCCCTCAAGAACCCTTGATTTTCTGATTCTATCTGGGTCAGGAATTAGTTATAATTAGTTTACAGACTAACCATACTTATGAGGAATGAAGCTCTAGTGCAGGGGGCTTCAAATTTGGCCCTTTTGTGACTTATGGACCAACTCACAGAAATCCTCAGTCAGTGTGCCTGGCTGAGGAATTCTGGGAGTTGAAGTCCACAAGTCATAAAAGGGCCAAGTTTGAAGACCCCTGCACTAGTGACTATTAATATAATCATTGGGGTATTAGGCCAAATGCTATATAAGAAGTGTCTTTATATATTGAGTGGAAATGAACTTGATCCCAAATGCCATAATTAGAATTTGAATTTGCTAACCAAATGGGCGTTATTTAACTATCTTAATAGAACTATGCTAGTTGCTATGCTAATTGCCAGTTTGTTTCTATGAGCAATCTAGAGTATTGCCTTTGAACTAAATCCTTAAAACATTGGTAAAATCAACTTTGGCAATACCAAATATTCCAGTTAACTAATGAACTGTTAGAGACTCAAAGAGAAGGCCATTAGAAAATTGCACAATTGTGCAATTGTGAAGATTAAAAATACCTAACACTTTAGTCTTACAAAAAAAATCCTACAGAGATTTTTTTTCAATTTTTCCTGTCACTGGGTAAATTGAATCCCCAGTTTTTATTCTCAGACCAGAGTGGCATGGCCATTTTGCCTCTTAATTTCCAGTCAGATATGTTGATGGTTAAACATTTTGAGTACAATTGAGCTGATTAGATTAGATTATTGTTTGCTTAGTACTGAAGTTTATCAAAATCAGAGAAAGCCTGACATTGCAGCTTCTAAGGAGAAGAGCAGATGGAGGGGTCATGACTCTAAAGTAAAAAGCTGCAGATATCTAAAAAAACCTCATTATTTTCTCTTTTGAACCAAAAAGAATATGATCATTTACAGTATTTATTTTGCATGCCACCTCAGTCACTGAAGGTATTCTACGCTGCTCACATGCCAGGGTTTAAAGCAACAAAGCATACGATAATACTATATAACATACAACAACATACAATAATACTACATAACCTTATATCAGGGGGGATAACCAACAGGGGTAGGCAACCTTGGCTCTTTTATGACTCGTGGACTTCAACTCCCAGAATTCCTGAGCCAGCCATGCTGAGGGGAAAGGGAGAGTTTCCAAGTTGAGCCATGCTGGCTCAGGAATTCTGGGAGTTGAAGTCCACGAGTCATAAAAGAACCAAGGCTGCCTACCCTTGGATTATACCATCAAGATAGACTATAACAAACAAACTATTATACTGTATTCCCGAACCTGCTGGAAGAGCCAAGTTTTCACAGCTTTATGAAAGCCTAACATACTTAGGCCATGCATATCTTGAGGGAGGGGGGTGCTGTTTCATAGGGTAAGTGCAACTACAAAGAAGACACAGCTCAGCTGTGTCCCATAAGTCACATTGCTTTACAGCTCAGATCTGGAGCACACCAACTCCTTAACAGTTCTTATTAGCCAGGCAGAAGCAACAAGAGGTCTAAAGGTAATCAGATCTTAAGTCTTGTGATGTTTTATATATGACAGTCAATGCCTTGAATTGCAGCCAGAATCTTACTAGTAGCTGAGCAGAGACATTATATTGACAAAGTGAGGAACACCAGTAACAGGTGTTCAAAGGTTGCCCTATGGAGGATGTATTGCAGTAGTCTGACTAGAAGGTCACTAGAGCAGGAATAACTGTGAGCATAGCCTCACACACTAGGAAAGGATATTATTGGCACAAAAGATGGATTTCTGTAAATGCCGGATTTCTATGCCGTGGCCGTTAACTGCTCACTGACCAGGAGATGAGAATCCAGGAGAGCCCTCAAATTATTTTAAAAAGTCTGCTTTGGGAAGTGCAATTCTGTCAAAAATAGAGATGGTAATCTTGCTGACAGAAAGGTTTTTAAAACCAGAGCCTCAGGCAAGTCTCTTTTGAGGAAGCTCAGCTCCTACAGGCTGGAACAGATGGACAAGTAAATGCTTTCTATTTTCTCCTACACATCAAGAAAAGCAGAGTCTCTCTTCCAAGAGGCAACTGAAAAGAATCATTCCCACCTACCTTGCACAAAATGGACAGGACCAAGGAAGCTGGGAGCAATCGCATCCATTTTCTGATTAAGTAGAAAATTAGATACTTAGAAGGTTCTTGTGTCTTTTCCAGAATCATAACTTCTCAATCCTGGTCCTGGCTTTTCTTTAAAAAGGGGTGGGGTGGGGTGGGAGAATTCTCCTCTTTGAAATGCCTATCTGTGGTAACATCCAGCACAGTTTGGTGTTGTAGGCAAAGAAAATCCCACTGGTTCAGGTTCCCGGCCTTTGGACGAGGCCAGGGATAGGCAACCTTGGCTCTTTTATGACTCATGGACTTCAACTCCCAGAATTTCTGAGCCAGCATGGCTCAGCTTGGAAACCTCTCCCTTTCCCCTCAGCATGGCTGGCTCAGGAATTCTGGGAGTTGAAGTCCACGAGTCATAAAAGAGCCAAGGTTGCCTACCCCTGGACTAGGCCCTAGCAAACATCTGTATCATCACCACTCAAAGAAGGGTCACTAAGGGGAGCAAATCTCCAGATGGATCCAATCAGCCAAAATATTGGATGTAGGTTTTTCAGTTTGAACATGACTTTTCCAGATATTTTTTTCCCCTCAAACATACTTTAAAATGGGCAACTTGTCAATTATGGGATGACTTCCGAATTCTGGGAAGATATTCTAATGAGTTTCTTCCCAGAAGATACCTTCCATTTTTTTTTTTTATTTTTTTTTTTTTTTTTTTATTGAAAATTTTTAAATTTTTACAAAAACAAATCCCCTTCCCATACCCCCCCCAACCCTACCTCACCCCCCTCCTCCCCAACCTCCCAAACCCTCCCCTAGACTTCCCAGAGCTGAGTACAGGCTTAATTGAGAAAAAAACTTAAAACACTTTTAAAACCTAAACAAATTTAAATACAATCATCATTCTATATAAACTCCCTCCAAAAACGCAAATTTAAACATTACTTTCTTTGAATATCTATAGCTATAATGTAAAATCTAATTTCTCCCTCTTTCTTTATCCTAATACAAAAAGATAAACATATAAACCTTTGTTGTACCATTAAAACTAAATACTCTTAGAAAACTTAAAGTAAATACATATTTCCTTCAATCTTCATCATCTTCTCACCTATCCAAAAAAAAAAAAACTTAAAAATCCTAAACAAATCTAGACACATTTAGTTAAACAAATTATTTTCTCTTAAAATATTAATAATAATATTTAAAAGCTTGAAACACTTTTAAATCCTAAACAAATCTAAATACAATCATCATTCTATATAAACTTTCTCCAAAAACACAGATTTAAGCATTACTTTCTTTCCTAAACAAATCTAGACATTTAATTAAACAAATTATTTTCTCTTAGAAATATTAATAATAATATTTAAAAACCAAATTAAGCATTACTTGAAACTTAAACAAATTATACTCCCTTCGAAACACAAATTTATTAGAATCCCCTCACTGAAATAAACAAATTATAATCCCTTCAAAACACAGGTTTAAAAATATTATCATTAAAGGTTTAAAACTTAAAACTGAAATATATTATTATCCCAAAACACATATTTAGACATTACATAAGACATTTTCCAAAAACGATATAAGTTTTACTTCTCCCACAATCTCAATAGTAAACTTCTTGTCTAAAGTTCTCATTAATGTCCATAATTTTCTGTCCAATAACCAGTTGCACCCACTATAAACACAAACTTCTTATCTAAAATTTTCATTCAATATCCATAATCTTCTGTCTAATAGCCAGTTGCATCTACTATAAGCACAATCCATATTGGTCTCTCTTGCCCGCAAGCATCGAAAAAAATGCGTGGAATTCTGCCCTTGAAGATCGCTCCAAAGAGTTTGTAAGTCCTGGTTGACCCACCAGCTCAGGAATCAGTACCTGTGAAACTTCCTCAACCTCCTTCTTCTGTTGGTCTTTCTCTTTACATTTATATGTTACTTTTTCTTTACATTTATATGTTGCACAAGTCTCAGGGACCGATACCTGTAAAACTTCCTCAGTAAATTCCTCCTTGTGTTGATCTTCACAGTTGTAAGTTGTACAAGTTATCCTCTGCCCGTTCCTCTCTTGTTGGTGCCCCTCAAGCTGAAATTTCCCAATTTCGATTTCAGGCAGCAATTCCACCCTTGAAGATTGCTCCAAAGACTTTGTAGGTCTAACTTCTCCCAGAGCTACCCTTGAAGATTGCTCCAAAGACTTTGTAAGTCCAACATCTCCCAGAGATTCAGAGACCGCTGAATATGAAACTTCCTTAACCTTCTTCTGTTGCTGCTTTTCTTTGGAGTTATGTGCTACACAAGTTGTCTTCTGCTCCTCAATCTGGACTTGTTGAGACCTAATAGATGGCGATGCACATACCCCCAGGACCGAAGTATAAAAATCTTTTGCTTGAGAAACAGTATTAAGTCTATGACATGTCCCCAGGTAGTTCACCACCATTCCAGTCGGAATATCCCATCTGAATAGAATTTTTCTCTTTTTAAGTTCATTTACTAGAAAAGCAAACTCCTTTCTTCTTCTTAAAATTTTAGATGGGATCTCCTTAAAAATTATGACATCTTGTGAAGCAATTTGAAATCTCTTCTTATAATAGGCTTGCACAATTTGATTGCGTAAGGATCTTTTACCAAAGTAAATTACCACATCTCTTGGCAGATTCTTCTGTGCTGCCACCACAGAGTTAACCCTAAATAATTTTTCAATTTCACTAAGTATTCCCTCTTTTTCTTTATTCAAAATCAATGCAAAGTCCTTTGCAACCATTTCTTTCAAATCTCTTGCAAAGACTCTTCCAGGCCTCTGATTCTTAAGGCATATTCCATTTGTCCATATTGAAGCATAAGAATCTCATTTTCCATTTCTTTTTCCATACTTTCAATTTTCCCCTCCATTATGTCCACTTTTTCAGCTACCTCTTCCACATGGGAGTTCACCTTTTCAAGAACAGAAGCAACTCCTTCTAAAGCCAAAACAAAATCTTGTCTCAAATCTTATTATTTTCCTCTAAAATCTTTTTCATTTCTGCCCTAATTTGAATTATAACATCTCCCATCATGTTTTGCAAATCCTTCATAGTTATTAGCTGACCCCCAGAAGAGGGTGAAACTGTTGATTTAGAAGCTGTAGAAATCCCTGGACGCTTTGGAGCCATCTTAAAGAAAAACCTTTAGCCCTTCTTAAAAAATTATAAAAATTCCTTCAAAAATCATAACTCCCTCCAAAGAAGGTCATTATAATAAAAAGAAAAAAGGGAAAAGAAAAAAAAAAGGAAGAGAAAAAGAATTAAAAAAAGCTTTACTCCTTCTTAAAAATTGCAAAAAATTAAACAGAAAAAAGTCCTTCAAAAAAGAGTCATTACAATATAAAGAAGGGAGAAGAAAAATAATAATAATAATAATAATAATAATTAAATAGAAAAAGTCCATTCCAAAAAAAAAAATACTTAGAGATACCAAAAACAACCATTCCAATCATAAGAAAATAAAAAGGGAAAGGGAAAGGAAAGAAAAAGAAACACCAAAAAGCCTGCCGGTCAGCATTCTAACTTCAAAAAAAAAAAAAACACCGAGAGATTTGCCGATCGCCATTTTACTTTCCCTTTCAACAGAGAAAAAAAAAATAAAATAAAATAAAAAGAGAGAATAAAAATAGAAGCAAGTCTTAAAACTTAAAATCCAAATAAATCAAAGAAAGCAAAAACTAAATCCTCTACTCAGCTCTGTCCGTTTATAAAAAAAAAACTCACCAGTTCTCTTTAAGCACGGAGGTGTTTGCAGCGGCTCGTTTTGTCCCTGAGGACAAAAACAGCTGGGAAGCGGAGACAAGTCCGAACTCCGTGGGAGCACTCCTTTCACCCCCCCCCCAAAAAACTTGGGGGGTGCAAAAGAGGCTCTACCACTATTCGGACACTCTCTACCCCCCCCCTTTGCCCGGGAGGGGGATTTTGAACCGCTGAACAGCTGGTGTCTGCTGTTCATAGCGGTTCTTACACTTGCCCAGGAAAGACGGCTACAAAGTAGCCGCCATCGCGCGCGCAAAATCCACCGGAAGTCGAGATACCTTCCATTTTTATTCAGTGGCTTCTACTGGTAGCAAATACTTCAGAGATACGTATCATGACTGAATGCCCTTCATATAGTTTTTCCCTCTTGAAAAAAAACATGGAGGAATGCAGAATATTATTCAAATTTTGAGTTAACTCTTGAATTTCCTGCTTATTTATTTTCTTCTGGTCCCTTTTTATGGCACCCAAAATAAATGGAACCATCCGTATGAAAATGTGACTGATGCTATAAGGGCATGGGCAGCGAGATGCTAGACTGATTATTCCACCCTATCATCATTAGAAATCATTTCTTCCCTTTCTCCAAACAAGAAGTTGCATTACCAGAGTGTCATACCAGAGTCAATAGGAGTTGGATGGCATATAAAATTATATTGCTGTTATTATATACACAACTGTGTGAAATCACAGCTGGCAATTCTTACATCAAGTTCTTTCCAAAAATCTAGATGCTGAGATTTTGTAATGTAGTTGCATAGTTATATGTGCAAATCCAAGCAGTGTTGCTGTTGTTGTTGTTATTACAAGTCCTCTTTATGCTAGCAAGGACTAGAAGCTTAATTGGCATTATTTTTTTTAAAATGCATTCTCAGCTTATTGAATGCCATGTCTTTGCAGTGTTCATATTTGCAGTGTTCCTGCAATATGCATAACTTCAGTTGTTCCTGGAGGACATTATGCAGGAATTTTTGCCCTGTGGGTGAAAAGTCTGCTTTCCTCTGAACAACCCATGGCTACCACTTTCTTTTCCTCTCTATACAGACCCATGGGAGGTACCCTTTGAAGAGATCATGGACTTGCAATGGGTAGGCAGTGGGGCCCAAGGAGCTGTCTTCCTGGGACGTTTCCACGGGGAGGAAGTTGCAGTCAAGAAGGTGCGAGTCCTGAAGGAGACGGATATCAAACATTTGCGAAAGCTCAAGCATCCCAACATCATCACTTTCAAGTGAGTGGGTCAGCATTGGCAAGAGGGAGATGGCACTGCCTTTCTTAAGAATGAAGTCTTCCTGAGGATAGTTGGACAGGGCAAATGTCTTTGCCAAGCACCATAACTTACTTCCTCTCCTTCACCCATCCACACATACAGCACACAGCAGTTGATTAGCTGCGTTTCTGGCAACACACTGAGGCTAGGCCTGAAGTAGAGAACCAGGCCTTGACTTCACCCTAGCACCGTGTTTCCCAAACTTGACAATTTTAAGGCATGTGGACTTCAACTCCCAGAATTCCACAGCCAGCAACGCTTGTTGTGGAATTCTGGGAGTTGAAGTCCTCATGCCTTAAAATTGTCAAGTTTGGGAAACACTGCCCTAGCACCACCACTGCCACTCAAAAAGGCTGCCTTGTACCATTTCCCAAGATACCTAAATGTTGGGGAAGGGTGTGATTGCCCTCACAGCCCAGCACTCTCCAGGACCTACCATCTGCCACCTACCTTTAGACTATGTTCTCTTTCTGTGGATAGGCCTCCGCAGCCAACTCAAGGCTGCTCCAGTTGCATGAGGCCTTTGTTCTTGAAATAGCTTTGGAGAATACGCTTCTGCAGCCTCCAAAAACTGTGCAAAAACATGCATGATTTTCAGAGGGTCAGGAGGCCCTGAGAGAACATGGCCCTCTTGCACAAATTCCAGAAGGCTTGGAGGCTATGTGAGAGCACACCCCATTCTTGCACAACCTTTGCAGCCTCCCCAAAATTGTACAAGGATGGTGCATGTTTTTGAGAGTGCTTGTCAGGTGATGGTGGATGCTGACGTATCATCAAAAATGTTGTGGCATGTTATCTTTGACACACATGTCATAGGCTCACCATCACTGTTATAATGTCTTTTCTGGAACCACAACTTCCTAGTACTAGCCCTTTACATCAGGGCCAATTCTGAGACAAGATCTTGGATGCTGTACTCAGCCTCTCCTTAGATGTTGCCACCTAGTTGTAATTTTTCACATGGGAGGAGAAGATTATTGGATACTCAAAAAGTAATCATATTAACTATAATGAGCAAATGTAAATTGAATTGTAATGCTCATTGCATCACAATTAGGTTTCATCTTGGCTCTGCCACATTTCTTTGGAATCCAGTGTGACCTTAGCTGATTCTTGCTGGAAAGAAACAGGACAGTAATACTGTATAAAATAAGTAATGCTATTTCAAATGTTGGAATTACAACTCCCATAATTCCTATCTTGTAGAACCAGCAAAATTATTTCCAGATACATTGGGTTATAATTCTTACATTTCCTAACTGCTAGCTGTTTCTAAGATAGTCTGTGTGCCTTTGAGTGTGTGTTGACTCTTGATGACTTCCTAAACAAGTTCCTGCAGTTTTTTTTTTTTCTGGATTTTAGAAGTGCCATTGCCTGCTTCCTGGGGCTGAGATAGTGACTGGCCCAGGGTCATCCACTTGGCTTTTTGCCTAACACAGAACTAAAACTCACATTCTCTCAATTTTTATACTCATTCCTCAAACTCTATGTCAAACTTATTCTCCTTTTAAGAATTGTAGACCCAAATATCTTGTGGTCACCAAATATGGAATAGATAAGAGTATCTATCTAGTAATGGCATTTCATATTCCTAGAGTCCAGTGGTGGCGAACCTATGGCACGCATGCCAGAGACGGCACTCAGAGCCCTCTCTCTGGGTATGTGCGCCATCGCCCTAGCCCTGCCTTCCCCCACACACCCCTCCTCACCAACAGCCCCCTTGGAGGAGAGTCGCCCCTGGGTGTGGCCCATGCAGGACATGGCAGCCGGGCAGTGGGGACAAGGCTCCGCCCTCATGCCCCGTCACGTGCAGATGATGCTGTGAGGTGCGGGCAGAGGGCGTGGTTACCATGGGGCTGCTGGGCCACCTGGGCGATCTGCGGCAGGCCGTGGAGGTGGTGAGTGGACGTGGGGCGAGGGCGGTGGGGGGTTGGGCACTTGGTCTCTAAAAGGTTCGCCATCACTGCAATTCATATATTCATATATCGTTGTCAATCCTACAAGATAGACAAGGAAACCAATTGATTGTTTGAATGTGCTTCCTCTCTTTATCGTCATGTGAACTAGGGATGGGGCTTGTTTGAGACATTTCTCAAGTTCCTGGGGGCAGACTCAAGCCCCTCTTATCTGGCCATGGCCTTGGTAGGGTCTCTTCCTCCTGTCCTTCAAGATCATTCCTGTGCCTTCTACAATAGGTGAATGAATGTTTATATTTTCAATGGTTCAATCCATAATGAAGACTGCAGAGGGACACCCCCCCCCCAACACACTGTTGAGTTGCAACAATAACAACAAAAAGTTCTGGACCACAGAATGCTGAATAATTTGGGGGGGGGGAAATGGGAGCATTGTGTGGGGAACAGAAATGATGGTCTTTCCCTTTACAATGAGAGGAAGATGTGCAACATCCTAATTTTCCACAAGTAATGCGGTGGCACTAGGGACAGCTTTTGCCTTGTCCCTGAACAACAGCAGCCCTTCCCACATATTGAACATTAGGCTTTCTTGCTAGGACACAAGGCAGAAGGGAATCCTGGCTCTTTGTCTCCCCAGAGATCATCATTCACAAAATCTCTTCAAAGAGCATGCTAAGCTTTGCAGGATTTGGTGTTATTTCTCCACTACTGTTAAATGTCCTGCTGGTCCTTCGTAGACGATCCTCATTTTGGTGTTCCCTGTCCTTTCTCGCTCCTTGCAGGGGTGTGTGCACCCAGGCTCCCTGTTACTGCATCATCATGGAATTCTGTGCCCAGGGCCAACTCTATGAGGTGCTACGTGCTGGACGCAAAGTTACCCCCTCGCTGTTGGTGGACTGGTCCATGGGCATCGCTGGTGGCATGAACTACCTGCACTTGCATAAGATCATCCACCGAGACCTGAAGTCACCCAAGTAAGAAGGGAAGCTAAATAGTTCCAGGAAACTAACTTGCCAGGCAGGCAATGGCAAGAAACTCGGGATTATTGAGGGCAAGGCGGCATATTATTTTTTCTTCTGCTGAAACAAAAGCTCTCACTTTTGAAAGTTCAAAACCTTTCTCCAAATGTTACAGTTAAGGGGAAGCCTTGGTAGTCTGCTCTGCCTCTTGGTCACTGGTTTAATCCACAACTCTTTTTCATGCCTGAGTACAATGCAGGGTCATCAACCCTTTCTTGTAATGGTTTTTGCACCTCTGGTAGATTGAGGGTGGAGGGTGGTGTTTCCTAAATAAGCAAACAAAATAATGCTTATCTCCAAGGAGATTTACCATGTAAATTAGACTTCAGGGAAGACAATGGTGAAGGTGACAAAATGTCAGGTAGTCCTTGACTTACAACAGTTCATTTAACGACTGTTTGAAATTACAGCGGCACTGAAAAAAGTGTTTTTCACACAACCGTTGCAGCATCCCCAGGGTCACGTGATCAGACTTCAGACGCTTGGCAACTGACTCATATTTATGATGGTTGCAGTGTCCTGGAGTCATACAATCACCTTTTGAGACCTTCTGACAAAGTCGATGGGAAAGCCAGATTCACTTAACAGCCATGTTACTAATTTAACAACTGCAGTGATTCACTTAACTGTGTGTCATTAAAGGTCATAAAATGGGGAAAATTCCATAACAACTGTCACCTACCAACATAAATTCTGTGTTCAGTTGTGGTCGTAACTTGAGGATTACCTGTAAGGCAAAGAACAGATGTGAGCAATCCCCTCCCATAATTAAATATGGTTGCCAAGGAGGGCATTGCATTCCCTCACCATCAATCGAAAAGCTGGGTGGAGGTCAACGGCTGCAGTGCTGTCTGTCCAGGTGGAGGAGGGCATCCTTTACTCACTCAGAGCTGAGCAGAGGAAATAAGAAGAGCGGGGGCTGTAACCATGCCTTGTCCTTTTTGGTCTCTCTTGGTGTTTTGTGATTTCCAGGTGTTTTGTAGTCTAGGGCAGAGGTCCCCAACCTTTTGGGCATCAGGGACCAGTTCTGTGGAGAGAGGTTTTTCCACAGACCAGAGAGTGTATGGTTTTGTGTGCTGCCTGCATTCCACGATGGGGCTTTGCTTGTTTGTGCCTGGTTGCTGGCATGCCGTGGACCGGTACTGGTCCACAGACTAGGGGTTGGGGACCCCCGGTTTAGGGGCAGTAGGAGAAATTTGCATAAATCTTGTTTTAGGAATAAGACACAGCAGAATTGCTTGGGGACAAGGAGGTAAAATTGGGGTTGTTCAGATACTCCAACAAAGTTGTAAATAACTGAGGAAAACAATAATGCTTTATGAACCATTCAATAAGATATAGGTTAAAGAAGTAAACAATACACTACCTGTAGATTCCTTTAAAATGCCACCATACAAATTAAGAACCTTTGTGGCAAAGTTATCTGCTACCTCCAAGGAACATATTGCCCAAGTCTCTAAGAGCCAGGCACAATATAAATTTAATAAATTATTATTACTCCATGGAGGAGTATTCCATATAATATTCATGTATTATCTCCCTTAACTGATGGCACTTTGCCTCTGGGTGTATCTCAGAAGGAGCCCTGGACTCCCTTTCTTTTCTTCTCCCCTAGCATGCTGATCACATATGATGATGTGGTGAAGATCTCCGACTTTGGCACCTCCAAAGAGCTCAGTGACAAGAGCACCAAGATGTCTTTTGCTGGCACCGTGGCCTGGATGGCCCCTGAAGTGATTCGGAATGAGCCTGTTTCTGAGAAGGTTGACATCTGGTAAGGGGAGCTAAAATCCAAAAGAGATGCAGTGGAGAGACTGGGGAAGGTCTGAGTGGGTGGCCGAAGCATAGGGACAACCCAGTGCCCGCCAGATGTGCTGGGCTCTGGCTTCTATCATCCACATTACACATGCCCAAACAAAGGCGTGTTGGACTACAACTCCCACCAAGGTCTAGAAACAGATGCCTATTCATGCACAGATTTATCTTGTGCTGTCCACATCTATTTGTCTATTACTCCTAGTCTCATCTGTATATGCCCCCAGGTAGAGATCCTGTTTGGGAAGAGTATAAAGGGGGAAGCCCTCTGAGAATATTTGTTCATGCCAGAGCTTCCTCCACTCAGTTGATTTTTCATTCATCTCTTCCCAGGTCCTTTGGGGTCGTTCTCTGGGAGTTGCTGACTGGAGAGATTCCCTACAAGGATGTGGACTCCTCAGCCATCATCTGGGGAGTGGGCAGTAATAGCCTCCATCTACCTGTGCCTACCAGTTGCCCAGATGGCTTCAAGATCCTCCTGAGGCAGTGCTGGTGAGTTCTCAAGTTCTATCACCTCTCAGCAACTTGGGATAGACTGTGGGAGGAAGAATTAGCCCAGGGCCAGCCCCTGCTCAAGCTACAGCTTGAAGGAATAGAAAATCCTGCATCTGGCTGTGTTTTTTTTTAAAGGAAAGGAAAGGAAAGGAAAGGAAAGGAAAGGAAAGGAAAGGAAAGTTTTTTTAAAAATTACATTACACTATGGGGGGATAGAAAAAAGGGGGGAAGAAAAAAGGCAACCTTGTTTCATTTTTTTTTTTTGAAAAAATAACAGTTAAAAACCCAACTAAATAAATTTCAAAACTCAGAAAATAAACCTTTAAAGCAGGAAAGCACTTTTCGGGCTATTTAGATAATATAAGATCCAGAAAACTGAGACCCAAGTATCCTCCAATTTTATTTATTTGCCTTGGTCCTGCAGAGATCCAGATGATACTTTTTTGTGCATATATGGAATGGCCTCCTTAAATAGGTCTAGACAATAAACATTGATTAGATAAGGTAAGATAGATAAGATAACCTTTATTGTCATTTTTTACTGTGGGCACAACGACACACATCAAAAATGAAATTTAGTTGCCCGCTCTCAAAGTGAACACATACATGACACACACCTAAACATACTATATATAACATACATACTATATACAACAGATGTATAGACCTACACTTCTACATATACATAACATATAAATATTAAACACTGTCCATCTTGAATATATAACAGAAGGAGGAAGCTTGAGAGTTCACAAGGTTTATACTGTATGGAACAAAACTGTGGCTGAATCTGGCTGTTCTGCTTCGGATACCACGGAGCATCCTCCCAGAAGACAACAATAGATTGAAGTCTATCTTATTCACCATTACAACCTCATGGGGTATTTACCATACAGGAACATTTCTATCAGCCTTTACATATTAATATTGCTTTCCACATCTGGGGCTCCCTAGGAATATACTCCAGATATATACTCTGGAGTAATAGCTTCCATCTACCTGTGCCTACCAGTTGCCCAGATGGCTTCAAGATCCTCCTGAGGCAGTGCTGGTGAGTTCTCAAGTTCTATCACCTCTCAGCAACTTGGGATAGACTGTGGGAGGAAGAATTAGCCCAGGGCCAGCCCCTGCTCAAGCTACAGCTTGAAGGAATAGAAAATCCTGCATCTGGCTGTGTTTTTTTTTAAAGGAAAGAAGGAAAGGAAAGAAAAGGAAAGGAAAGGAAAGGAAAGGAAAGGAAAGGAAAGTTTTTTAAAAAATTACATTACACTATGGGGGGATAGGAAAAAGGGGGGAAGAAAAAAGGCAACCTTGTTTCACTTTTTTTTAAAAAAAAAAATAGTTAAAAACCCAACTAAATAAATTTTAAAACTCAGAAAATAAACCTTTAAAGAAGGAAAGCACTTTTCGGGCTATTTAGATAATATAAGATCCAGAAAACTGAGACCCGAGTATCCTCCAATCTTATTTATTTGCCTTGGTCCTGCAGAGATCCAGATGATACTTTTTTGTGCTTATATGGAATGGCCTCCTTAAATAGGACTAGACAATAAACATTGATTAGATAAGATAAGATAGATAAGTTAACCTTTATTATCATTTTTTTACTGTGGGCACAACGACACACATCAAAAATGAAATTTAGTTGCCTGCTCTCAAAGTGAACACATAATGACATACACCTAAACATAATGTACACAACATACATACTATATACAACAGGTGTATAGACCTATACCCCTACATATACATAACATATGAATATTAAACACTGTCCATCTTGAATATATAACGGAAGGAGGAAGCTTGAGAGTTCACAAGGTTTATGCTGTATGGAACAAAACTGTGGCTGAATCTGGATGTTCTGCTTCAGATACCATGGAGCCTCCTCCCAGAAGGTACCTACACTTTATCAGAAGAGTCCACAAGTAGTATTTGTTTGCAATATACCAAGTGTCCGCCTCAGTAGGAAGACAAGACCTGGAAATCAACTCCACAGCAAGCCTAAAATTACTTATATTGAGATTGACCATAATAACAGAATCTTGCAAATCGGATTGTGTTGTGTCTCTTCCCTCTTCTTCTACTCCAGTGCATCAGGAAGGGGTTTGCCTGAGCCATTTCCAAATGTCAGCTCATTCTTCTGGACTTAAAAACACTTCATCCCCTTTTGCCTAGGACAGGGGTAGGCAACCCTGGCTCTTTTATGACTCGTGGACTTCAACTCCCAGAATTCCTGAGCCAGCCATGGCTCAGCTTGGAAACTCTCCCTTTCCCCTCAGCATGGCAGGAATTCTGGGAGTTGAAGTCCAGGAGTCATAAAAGAGCCAAGGCTGCCTACCCCTGGACTAGGACACAGTTCCCATGATGTATCTCTTCAGGGTCATCTTTGTTACTCACAACTACATCAAATGAGCTTTCATTGTTAAAGGTGGACCTGAATTTGTGTTTCCCTGCTCTTGGCCCAACCATACCACCCAACAAGCTATGAATCCGCACTGTGTGCTTTCCCCTCAGTGTATTCTGTCTTCCTTCATCAGGAATAGCAAACCTCGGAATCGTCCATCCTTCCGGCAGATCCTACTGCACCTTGACATTGCCTCTGCTGATGTGCTGTCCACACCGCAAGAAACCTACTTCAAATCCCAGGTGGGCTTCCTTGGCAAAATTAGTACTAAATTGCGTTAAAAATGTATGGACCTCTTTTCACGTTATAAAGTAGTTTACAATGCAGTTACGAACAATAGTATAAAAACAAACTAGATGAAACTAATCTCTGAAATTGTACCACAACTTTTCACAAACAAATGCATCTTTTGCTGAGGGTTGAATAGCTCCACCTTTTCTTATTCACATTATGGAACGGATACCACGCATTGGGTGTCATAATCTACAAGAGCAGCATCATTGTAAACAGTTTTCTGTTCTCTAGGCTTGGAGCCAGAAGGATTCAGGAAATGAATTTATGGAGCTCTCTTTTCCTTCCCCAGGCCGAATGGCGAGAAGAAGTGAAGCTCCATTTTGAAAAGATCAAATCAGAGGGGACATGTCTACACCGTTTGGAAGAGGAGTTAATTCACCGACGGCGAGAAGAGCTCAGGTAAGGCTAATATGAAACCATTAAAGCATGGAGAGAAGATTCTATACCTATATATGTATTTATAAACAAAAGGTGAAGTTGAGCTGAGTTGCACTTCTGGAGGCCATATGGACATGTCTCTGTTCTTTTCCTAGTGGTACTAAAAATGAGATTTGTCACTCTTCAACCTCCCACTCTAGACTTGACACTTTCACGCAGAGCCAGGAATGGCTGACTGCTGCCACCTGTCATAATAATTTTATACATAATGACGTATATTCCTTGCATCTGCTGGCATGCTGAAAATACCAATATTTTTGGGGGGGGAGAGGGGGTTCCCCATCAGCAAAGCAATTTTGTATTCCTCATAATTGAAGCAAAAATCTTGACAATTCCTCCCGTCTTTTATTTCACTACCGTTCCTTTTATTAAAACTAATGGCCGTTATCTGTAAATTGAATTGGGCTTAATCTTATGGGTAAATTAATTGAATTCGCATTTCAATTGAAACTTTTTTTTTCCTTTTCCCAAACCTATATGCGAACCAGAATGCAACTGTTTGACATTTACATGTTATGGAATGTATTCCAGAGTTTAAGAAAAATAAATCCTAAGAAAAAATGTAGATAATGAAGAAAATGCATATGAAAATACATATAGTGAAAAATGCATTTGCATTTGTCAAACTTGCTTGCAAAAATGTGTCTTTTAAGAAGCATCTTTTTTTAAAAAAACAAGAGTACATTTCTTGTGTTGTCGTTTTAAGGAAAGAACAATGAAGAAATAGAACAGAATAAACTTAGAGTTGGAAAACCGAGACATAAAACAGATCTGAGTTCATAAATGTATCTACGTCTGCTAAACGCATCTTCCTCTTTTTTTAAGGACTCTTAAACCTGCAGCGATGTTCCATCAAATACCAAAGATGCTAGGACCTGTAATTTTCTGAGTTCACCTGAGTCTTTGCTATTAAGCATCTCAGAAACTGTCTCTAGTTTCTTATACCTGGACTGATGTCCTGCAAGGGACTGTCAAATGAACAGCAGCCTCTGAAAGCACTGTCAGAGCCCTGTGTTACAAGCTCCGCCCATTCCAAAAGGGGCGGAGCTTGCAGCCTGGCGCCACAACGCTGTTTTCATTCTCCAGTCCATAGCAGCCAGAACCTGTGTATGCTATCGAATCTAATGTAGTGATTGAGGTGGATCAAAGCTGGGGGGAACCTTTCAGCTCCTTGGTGACTTTTGACCAGTCACTCTTAGCCCATTCAACCTCACAGAGTTGTGTGAGGATAAGATGATCCCCATATAAAAGTTGTGAGAGGATAAGCTTGAGCTCAACCAGATAGATAAATAACAAAATCACGACTGTTTATATGTTTGAAAGATTTCTTTGCTCTCCTCTCCTGCTGCAGGCATGCCCTGGATATCCGGGAGCACTACGAACGTAAACTGGAACGGGCCAACAACCTTTATATGGAGCTCAATTCCCTTATGTTGCAGTTGGAGCTGAAGGAGAAAGAGCTGCTTCGGTAAGATTACAGAAGTCCGGGAAGGCTGCTAAGCTTTGGAGCTAACTTTTCCTAAAGGTATATATTTTTAACTGAGCAAGAGTGGAAAGATTCAGTAAGAGAGCCTCGGCCTACCAGCTCTCTCTCTTGACCCTCCCCTTCACCCCATGACCTGTTTGCTGGATCTCAAATATCAACACCACACCTTCTACTTGGGGCACCATTTTATCCCATAAGGCAGTGTTTCCCAAACTTGACAATTTTAAGGCATGAGGACTTCAACTCCCAGAATTCCACAGCCAGCGTTGCTGGCTGTGGAATTCTGGGAGTTGAAGTCCACATGCCTTAAAATTGTCAAGTTTGGGAAACACTGCCATAAGGCAAGGAACACAGAATAAGGGAAGAGGAAGGTACCCACCCAAACTCCTGCAACTATTTGCATTGGGAAGGAAGGAACTATTTGCCCTGGATAAAAACAAGTTGCAGAAAGTTCTACCCAGCCTTTCTCAACTTGGCACCCCCTCCATATCAGGTAGAATCCAAGAACCAGCAATAATTAAAAAGGGGAATTAAAATCCAAACACACCTTAAAGTCAGGTTATCCTTCATCCTCTACAAATAGAAATGTATGGGTTTCTTTGAATGGCGTTGAATCAATCAACCACTCAATCAGTCGTCGAGTTAAAGTTGCTTTCTGGTATTTTATCTGATTATTCTTATTATTCTTTGGGGACCCTGACATCCTGTTTTCCTGTCCCAAAAGACCCTCAGAAACCCCGTTATCCAAGCGACTAGTATTAATTTTGGATTTTTTTTCCCCCTCTGTGTCCTCCTGAGTTTTCAGTCTTTGCATCCTTCTCCTAGGCGAGAGCAAGCGTTAGAGAAGAAATACCCTGGACTTTTTAAGCACCATCCATCCCGGAGTCTCCTACATGGCAACACAGTGGAGAAGCTGATCAAGAAGAGGAATGTGCCACAAAAGCTCTCTCCACACAGCAAAAGGTGAACTACTGCAGAGAAAGGCCTTTGCAGGAACGATTTAACAATGACCATTATGTGTAGTAGCATAATGTGAGCCAATGTGGAAAGAAAATGTAAGTATTGGGCACAGAACCTAGGTGTCTGTTTAGCCCAGTGTTTCTCAACCTTGACAATTTTAAGGCATGTGGACTTCAACTCCCAGAATTCCACAGCCAGCAACGCTGGCTGTGGAATTCTGGGAGTTGAAGTCCACATGCCTTAAAATTGTCAAGGTTGAGAAACACTGGTTTAGCCCAACTTCAGCTCCCACGTAGAAGAAAAATGGGACATACCAGTCTCATTAGGTATTTTTTCCTGTCCATCCTCTTTGTTGTATTTAGTTTGCTTCCAAACATTCAGCATTTTGTGGTGATACCAAGCCTGCTAGTTGATGGCATGATTAGTAATTTATTGCAATCTCCTGCAAATTACTTAGATTGCTTTGATAGCTTTTATTTTATTTTATTTCCAACTGTTGTTGTTTTTATTTATGTGAGCCGTCCTTGATCACTTAGATGAGATGGGCAGCAATATAAATTAATCTTGTTAATAGGCGTAATCATGTGATGACTAATTCACGTACTGTAAGAGTAGAGCCAGTCCTTACTTAACGACCACAATTGAGACCGGAATTTTGGTTGACAGTTACTGTGATCATTAAGCAGATCACCATGTGACCTGACTCAGTTTTATGACAGTTTTAGAGATGATTAAGATGATGGAAACCAGCAAAAAAGTTGCAAAAATTGCAGTCATAGGAGCACAGGACACCGCAAGCATAAATGTAAATCCCAGTTGCCAAAATGCAATCCTATGAACACCTGGAATCTGTGCAGCAGTTGTAACTTCAAGGACAGGTCATAAATAACTTTTGGGGGGTCTGTCATAACTTCAAAAGTTTGTTAAGCAACCAGTTGTTAAGTGAGGGTTACTTGAATATGTTTCTATATTTCAGATATTCCAGTTTGCTCGTTACTTTCTTTCAAGAAAATTAATAATCTAATCTAAGACAGCAAAGCAGTAGCAACAGCAAAACTGCAAAAGTGGGAGGGGGGAAGCAGCCTCAGGAACAGCAACACAGGAGCCAATTGCTTAAAGCCGGGGTAGGCAACCTTGGCTCTTTTATGACTTGTGGACTTCAACTCCCAGAATTCCTGAGCCATACATGCTGAAGGGAAAGGGAGAGTTTCCAAGCTGAGCCATGCTGGCTCAGGAATTCTGGGAGTTGAAGTCCATGAGTCATAAAAGAGCCAAGGTTGCCTATCCCTGGCTTAAAGGGTTAGATTAAAATTACAGTACCCTCTCCCTTCTTGGCATCGAGATTACTCGGCTAACTCTGTTTTGCTTCTGCAGGCCAGACATTCTAAAGACAGAGGTCATCTTGGACCCCAGCCTGCCTCAGCTCGCCATCCCCTTGTGCCAGAAAGGGCCCCCGTCCCCCGGGCGCAGCCGCCGTGCTAAGTCACGCTACCGTAAGGTCAGCACACGGGGCAGCTGTGGGGAGCTGGCCGATCCCGGAGGAGCCAAGCGCCTGGAGCCCTGCACGGCCCTCCGAGGGCTCCAGCATGACCTGCTGCTGCGCAAAATGTCGTCTTCCAGCCCTGACCTCATTTCCACCACGTTGGGAGCCGAGGGCCGCAAGGGGGCGGCGGGGCCAGAATCCCCACCAGCAGAGCAGCCTCGCAGTGAGACACCCAGCGAAGACACTGCCTCGGTGCCTTGTTCCAGCAGCCCCGACTCGCCCTCTTCTCGACAGGGGGCAGTGGGGCCACCAGGGAAAGCAAGGCTGCAGCCCGGAGAAGACGCAGAACGGGAACAGGGCAAGGGTAACCGCTCAGGGGCCCCACAGCAGCCTCAGCACCTCACACCAGCAGCCATGTTGTACCGGGCGGCTGTTACCCGCAGCCAGGTAGGCATGTTTTTTTCTTTCCACTCTTCTTCCTCTTTTTCCTTTCCCAACCGGAAGAAAATGGGTTTAAGGGCAGGCAACAGTCACTGTGATCTGAAAAGCCTGTAGAAATGCTGGCTATGGCTGCCTTCTCCTTTTCTTCCTCTGATAATACCACAAGCAAGAAAGAAACGGAGTGCAACAGGTAAACAACTGCCAAGGTGAAAGCCCTTCTCCAGCTTTTATGGACTGCCTTGGCCCTTTCCTCTCCAATGCACAACATTAGAGCAGGATAGGATATTGTTTTATTTCCTTGCTGGTTCAGCTTATCGCATCTCTTGATTATGATTTATTAAATTTATATGCCACCCAACTCCCAGCAACTCTGGGTGGTTCTTAAGCAACGTTCGGTACCAGTTTCCATCCTAGTTGGCCAACGGTATAAAACCTAACCATGTCATGATGAAGAAGAAGAAGAAGAAGAAGAAGAAGAAGAAGAAGAAGAAGAAGAAGAAGAAGAAGAAGAAGAAGAAGAAGAAGAAGAAGAAGAAGAAGAAGAAGAAGAAGAAGAAGAAGAAGAAGAAGAAGAAGAAGAAGAAGAAGAAGAAGAAGAAGAAGAAGAAGAAGAAGAAGAAGAAGAAGAAGAAGAAGAAGAAGAAGAAGAAGAAGAAGAACTAGAACTGTAGAGCAGTTTCTAAAAAAATAAATCAATCCCAAAACTCTCACAAGTGATGCCGAGGGAAAGTCTATCTCCTGCCTCGAAAGGACCCCAAAGAAGTGGACAGAGCAGCCGCCCCTGGAAGATGTCCCAGAGCTCAGAACTTTTTACCAAGCAGACTGTGGGTTTTGTAGAAGGCAGTTATATTTTCAGTAGTCTATGACTGGTCTTAGACCTTGAGAAGAGTTGAGATTGGTGAAGAAGAAAGTGCTTAATTTCATCCAACCCCAGACTGTCCAAAAGCAAAATTATACACTATGAAATGATCCTAGAAACAGATGGGTTACCAGGCAGTTGTGGTTTTTTTACATTTCCAAGTCCTTTACAGTTCAAGTTCTCATTTCACAATGGCTTTCCTTTTCATTTCAAGATCTTTTTCTGTTTCTCCCAGTTTTTAATGAATATCTCAACATTTGCCAACGACTACAATTCACAACTCCAAATTTTTTCCTCTTCCTCCTCCTCCTTTTTTTCCTCGATTTTATTTATTTTCATCCTCCTCTCTCTGCTGTCTTGTCATTTATGCTCCCAGTGTATGTATTTATTTTTGCTACCTAGAAACTGAAGAATCTAAGGGGGATGCAAACCTCTCCCTTTTTGAAGTTATCAAGTTCCTGCTACTCTCCCTGTACTTCCTGTAAAAGGAGGATGTTCTCCCACCCTTCCTCATCCTGTTTTTTCATCTTTGAACATCAGAGCAGCCACAGGGGGAAGACAAGTCTTCCCTCCAGTCATGGAACTCATCCTCTATTTTTTAAGCCAGGCCAAGATGAAAAATTCTGTGGGTTTTGTTGTAATTCTGTCTCTAACTTTCTAAATTCTTCTTTTAATAATAAATATTGTTGTCTTCTCTGTTTGTTTTTCTTTGCCATATACGTTATAGCTGTGCCTCCAAAATACGCTTTAGCTGTATCCCATACATTTTGTAGTGATGTGTCTTCTTTATTTTCTTTAAAGAAGAATTCCATTTCTTTTTTGGCCAAGTCTATAAATTCTTTATATTTTAATATAGATTGATTTAAAATCCATCATGGGTTTTTTTGTACTCCTTTCCATGTCGCTTTTATAGGGTTATGATCTGCCCATGTCCCTATTTCTATCTCAATTTCCTGTATATCCATCTTTAATTCAGGAGTCACAAGATGAAAAATTCTGTGCCCCCTGTGGTTTATGGCATTATAGTGTGTAACCAAACCAAACCAAACTTGAAATAGCAAGCTAATGTGCTAGAGGAAAAGAACCGTTTCAGACTTGGGGTTTTGGAACTTCAGTACTTCTGAAAAAACACATTTGGTTTCTTGATCAATTTTAAGGCAGTTTGTGAGGCTGGCTAAATTCAGTTCTTTTCTACCATCTGAACCATTTCCTCAATTAGAAGCATAAACGAAATGAAATAGGCTCACAGGCTGATTGCAGGCACTATTCCCTGGACTCTCCCTGTTTAGAGGCCTTGAATACCCAAATCACCTGTTCAAGATAGGAGACAGGTGGGCCTGTTTGGCACCATTATTAATCTCACTGGACCATTCATTTCTCAGCAGGGCTTGTCTTAAAGTCAGAGTAAAATATATGTGTTGATAAAAAGGTCAAACCTTTGTTGGTGATTAGGTAATAATAATAATAATAATAATAATAATAATAATAATAATAAACAATTGTCTATAAGAAAGCCAAAAAAGTTTGGAAAGTGGACGTGGCAGTGCTGGAGACAGCAAAATAGACGAGAAAGAACTGGAGAAGATAACAAAATACAAAGACCTACAAATAGAAATAGAAAGACAGTGGCAAAGGCAAGCAAGGGTAGTACCAATAGTAATAGGCACCTTGGGTGCAATCCCGAAACAACTGGAGCACCACTTGAACACCATTGGCATTGACAAATTCGCTATTAGTCAATTGCAAAAGGCGGCCTTACTAGGAACTGCTTCCATCCTGCGACGATACCTGTAATACCATCAAACATCCACATCTGCCTATCCCAGATCCTGAGTAAGGACTCGATAGGTAGACAAAATACCAAATCCAGTCTGAACATCTGGCTGACTGTGCGATGATCCATAATAACAATAATAATAACTTTATTGTCACTTTGAATGCACACCAATCACATAAATCAAAATGAAATTTCGTTGCATACAGCTCTCAAAGAGTCACCATCTCCGATATACACTCCTTGTTCATGGCCAGCTCAAGTTTCAGATCGTCCATTTTAGTCTCTAGGGAGCGAACGATGGCAAACAGCACAGTTTGGTTAGTTTTCATCCACCTTTATTAAAGTTATAATGCTATAAAAGTAATACAGAAATAAACCTGACAGCAAAACTGGATCTGCTGAGGGAAAATAAAAACTCAGTCTTGGGAAATGGGGAAAGCATGGAAAAGAAACTCAAAATAACCCCATTCTGATTCTATTCATTGTAAAATGTCAGAGATGAAAACTCTGGCAGCGTCAAGCTTGTGTTATTATATCCTGCAACAATGAAGGATCCTTGCTACGGCTGTTTCCAGTTTTGAAAAGTTGACAAATTCTGACCCAGTTTCTTTTTATTTCATTCATCTTGACTTAGAAACGTGGTATCTCCTCAGAGGAAGAAGAGGGCGAAGTGGACAGTGAAGTTGAGCTCCCTCTCCGGCAAAGGTGAGGATTTGCCTGATTTAGGACTCAGTCTCCAAGGATTTGGGGATCAATGAGTGGAGTAGAATGGAAAATTTTCATCTCTTATTTATGTCTTGAGAGTGGATCAGAGATTTAAGAGGAAAGATAAGTGCATATCTCTTTTCCTTTAGTTTAACAATGCCTAAAAATATCTCAGAAAAACGTCAGTATTGCCATCAAATTTCAGTGGCACAATATAATGATTTGAGGATCAGTAAAATAAAGGGAGGGTCATGGTGGTTATAAAAACTGCCACCTGTAAAAACTGCTGGAACCCAGGAAACAGAATGAGACGACAGATTTCTCAGTATTGCTGTATTGAAGAGACATCTGTGGGATTGTAAGAGTCTGCCTGATAACTCCACACATCTTGTTGAGCTTCATCATGGAAGAAAAGTGGTCTACGAAGAAGTAAAATAAATTGCTTACTTAGAATCATTGCAAGAAGGAGATTTGTAAATGCTTTGGAATGCCTTCTGAGTAGCAGTGCTGAGTAGGCAGCAGTGGTGAAATGAGCCAATTGTTTAGGATTATGAATACCAGAATGAGAGAGAAAGTGTTGAATGAAAAGAGGGATGAACAGAATTCTTCAATATCTTCATAAATGATCCAGATGAGGGAATAGAAGGAGAACTCATCAAACTTGCAGATGTCCCTAAGCTGGCAGGAATAGCCAACACCCCAGAAGACAAGCTCAGGATCCTTGACAGACTTGAAGCTGGGCCCTATTTAACAAAATGAAATTCAGCATAGATACAAGTAAGGTTTTACACATAGGCAAGAAAAACCAACTGTATAGGTACAGATTAGGTGAAACTTAGTTAATGCCAGTAACTGTGAGAAGAATCTTGGAGTGTTAGTAGATAATCAGTTAAATATGACCCAACAATGTGTGGCAGCAGCAGCAAAAAAAAATAAAATCCTAGGCTGCATTAATAGAGGAATAGAATCAACATCACATGAAGTGCTAGTACAAACCTCAGTAAAACCACACTTGGAGTACTGCATCCAATTCTGGTCACCACAATATAAAAAAAGATGTTGTGACTCTAGAAAGAGTGCAGAAAAGAGCAACAAGAATGATTAGGGAGCTGGAGGCTAAAATATATGAAGAACGGTTGCAGGAACCGAGTATGTCTAGACTAGTGAAAAGAAGGACTAGGGGAGACAAGATATATTTGAGGGGCTCCTACAAAGATGGGGAGGGGGATCAAACTATTTTCCAAAGCACCAAAAGGCAAGACAAGAAAATAATGGATGGAAACTAACCAAGGAGAGAAGCAACCCAGAACTAAGGAGTATTTTCCTAACTGTGAGAGCAATCAACCAATGGAATAGCTTGCTTTCAGAAGTTATGAGTGCTCCATCACTGGAAGCTTTCAAAAAGAGACTGGACAGCCATTTGTCTGAAATGGCATAGGGTCTCCTACTCGAGCAGGAGGTTGGACTAGAAGACCTCCAAGGTTCCTTCCAATTCTATTATTCTATGTCTTATGTTCTAAACAGGGATATGCAAGAGATTGTTTATTGTTATGTGCTTCTACTTTGGTGTTTCTACCTCTAATCATGAAAAAAGGATGTAGAGTATTCTTCCCACCTGCTGCCTGTCCAGCAGATTGGAATGACCACCAAGATGGAGAAAGCTTATATCTTCACCCCAACTGTTTTCCTGGCGAGGAGTGACTTGAGGGTATAGAGAAGGTGATATGGGTCTTCCACATCTTCTTTTGCCTCCTTCCTCACTTCCATTTAGTTCCCAACTCCAGACCCCCCCTCCCCCCTTTTGATTGACTATGTACCATCAAGTCAGTGTCAGCATTTGGTGATCACATAGATCAGGGGTCTTCAAACTTGACCCTTTTATGACTTGTGGACTTCAACTCCCAGAATTCTTCAGCCAGCATGCCTGGCTGAGGAATTCTGGGAATTGAAGTCCACAAGTCATAAAAGGGCCAAGTTTGAAGACCCCTGACATAGATAGACTTTCTCCAGGACGATCTGTTTCCAGCCTGGCTTTTAAGTTATCCAATTGCCATTGGAAACTAATTTAATCCATCCACTTTGCTGTTTGTCTTCCTGTTATCTTTCCTTCTGCTGTTTCCAGAATTATGCATCTCCCAAGAGATCTAGCTCTTTGCATAATATTATAATTTGAGCTTGATCATTTGTGCCTCAATTGAAAATCCTGGTTTGATTCCTCCCCCCCCCATGATCCATTTGTTTGTCTTGGCTATCCATGGTGTTCCCAAGAGCCTTTTCCAACACCAAAAGCATCAATATACTTTCTATCCTGCTTCTTTAAAGTCTAACTTTTGCTTTCATAGGCTGTCACAGAAAAAAAAAGTTGCCTAGAAGCAGTGATATTTATAAATTTAGACAAATCACAGCAAGTGAATACCATTTCTAGGGCTTTCACTGCTACTCTGCCAATTGCTAGTAGTGTAGTACAGCAGGGCTTTTCAACCTTTTCACCCATTGTACCACTTTCAGGATACGGCAACATCCGAGTACCACCAGTCGCCTAGCAAGGTGTCAAAAACTTGATGACCAAAAAAAAAAAAAAAAAAAAAGGAAAAAAGTGGTAAAGTAACAGGTAGTCCTCGACTTACAACAGTTCGCTTAGTGACTGTTCGAAGTTACAATGGCACTGAAAAAAGGGCCCCCCAAGCCACAGCCAAGCAAGACACCTGCCCGCCCACCCGGCCGCGCTCTTCCTCCTGTCCAAGGTTTTTATTGTTGTGAGCATTCCTGTTGAGGATTGGCAGCAGGGGTGGGGGGGTGTTTGATTTTTATTCCCCCCGTCTGCTGGTGGTTGCAGCAGGTTTTGGTCACTTCACATGACCCTGGGATACTGTGACTGTCATAAATATGAATCAGTTGCCAAGCATCTGAATGTAAATCACAAGACCCTGGAGAGGCTGCAACATTCCAGCTGATTGGTGCTTCTTTTGGGCTCAGCACTGAGGCTGCAACATTCCAGCTGATTGGCACTTCTTTTGACAGCCCTGCAGCTCCAGCCATCTCTCGCTCAGGCTTGTACGGTGCTGCCACCGGTTCAGCTCATTCCCCTCCCCTTCCCTGCTACCACTTTTCTAGGATGGTCGCGTACCACCTGCCAGGTGCTAATGTACCACAGGTGGTACCCGTACCACTGGTTGAAAAGCCCTGTAGTACAGTACTCGACTGTGGCTTCCTTTACTCTTGACGGTCTCAAAACAGGAACTATCCACCACTTCAGTATCTTAATTGTCAGTTCTAAATCTGGCTGCTATACTGTTATCATGAACTTGGGTCTTCTTGATATTAATCACAGTCCCATTCTTTTCAGAGTATAACTTGACTTTCATTATGAGAGCTTCCAGATCATTTGCCGTTTCCACTGGAATGTCATCAGCATAGAGCAGGGGTCTTCAAACTTGGCCCTTTTATGACTTGTGTACTTCAACTCCCAGAATTCCTCAGCCAGGGTGCCTGGCTGAAGAATTCTAGGAGTTGAAGTCCACAAGTCATAAAAGGGCCAAGTTTGAAGACCCCTGGCGTAGAGCAAGTTATTGATGTTTCTTCTTCCAATTATAAAACCATGCTTATCTTTTTCCAATCCAGCTTCTCTCAGTATATATTCAGCATATGGTATAGGTTAAATGAAGCAAGAGAATGCACTCGCTCTTTTGCTGACCTGGAGCCAGTAGTCTGAACTGTGGATTCTTGCCTTAAATTTCACAGGAAGGTATTCTGGGTTTCCCATTTTCCAGAGGATATCCCATAGTTTGACATGATCAGCACAAAGGCCTTTCTGTAATCAACAAAGCACATTTCCTTCTGTTTCCATGGGGACATTATTGCTCTAGCTACATTCTCGCTAACTTCATGCTCTCCAGAATGATCAGTTTTATAATCTCAGGTTCCTGGGTGGAGAAGGACGTGTGACATATTTTAAGTCAAGAAACACAAGGGAGTCAGGGATGGATGGTTTGATGGGAAAGGGCAGATTGGATCTGGAGACAATTTGGGAGACTTTCTTCTTGTCCTGCTGTTGCATCTCTCGAAGCTTGTGGGTACCAAGTGTGCTGGTTCCATCTGGAACCCAGGTTCCTTCCTGAGTGTCGTCTTCTTGCTTCCTTCTCTTTTAGGCTGACTGGAGTTTTTTTTCTTCTTTCGCTCTCTTCCCTAGGTGGCCTCAGGCTAGGAGCAAACGGCAATCTCTCTCCACCTTCAGCTCCGAGAATTTCTCAGATGGTGATGGTGAGGAGGGCACTGGCAGTGAGGGCACCACAGCTTCCCACAGTGGCGGCACCCCTGATGTGCCCAGTACCAATACAGACGAACGCCTGGATGCTGAGCGCTCAGACGACGACATTCTGGGGAACTCTGATGGGTTGTCTGAAAAGGAAGCCGCCATTCAGCTTGTGAAACGGCAGCTCAGTGCTGAGCAGAATGCTGGAGAGGTGGGTACTGAGTGAATGTTAACCCTTCTCTCTCAGGACTAGGAGTCTCTCACATTCCCCCCAAGCCAGGGATAGGCAACCTTGGCTCTTTTGTGACTCGTGGACTTCAACTCCCAGAATTCCTGAGCCAGCCATGCTGGCTCAGGAATTCTGGGAATTGAAGTCCACAAGTCACAAAAGAGCCAAGGTTGCCTACCCCTGCCCCCAAGCACAGACTTACCACCAGTGGTGTCCACTTATGAGGAAGGGGCTTCGGAAGAGAACCGTTCAAGTTGGTTCAGCATCATTTAACTATTACATTCAACTTGTACCAATAGTGCCTAAAGCAGCGGTTCTCAACCTGTGGGTCGGGACCCCATTTGGGGTGGAACGACCATTTCACAGGGGTCGCCAAACAACCCAGCCCGCCATTTTTGTCCCCCTTTTCCTTAGCTATGCTACTCCCTTTTATTCTATTGGCTTTTGAAAGCCAATAGAATAGACTCTCTTGAATAGAGTCTAATTCTATTGGCTTTCAAAAGCCAATAGGAATTGTCCAGGCTGTCTCTGCCCTGCTGAGCCCGTCAAAATTCCCATTCTGCAAACGGTGCTGCACCAGTTGAGTAATCCTCGACTTACGACCAGTTGAGTAGTCCTCAACTTACGACTGGTTGGGGGTCGCGGCATTAAAAAGGTTGAGAACCACTGGCCTAAAGCCATAACTTGTCTGCCTGCACTCACAACATCCGGAACGTATTGGCTTTTGTTCTGAGGCTTTAAGAATCTGGTTCTTACCCCTCAAAGCTTCAAAGAACATACACAAATCATTGAGGGATAAATTTCCAACCTTTTTCTTCTATGGAAGACCTTGCATTTGTTTGAAGACCCCGTTCTTCCTTCCCTATGATGGGGAAATGGATCAAATAGCATCTATGCACTGATGGGATTCAGCCAGTTTACACCATTTTGGGAGAACTGGTAGCTAATTTTTTGTTGCCCAGGTCCAGAATGGATTTCCGGAAGCGGCATCCACACAGAGAACCGGTTGCTCACCTATTTGAATCCCACCACTGCACCTATGCGTGGGCAAGCAGCAAAAACAGATTTACAGGCTTATGACCAGCACTGAGCTCAAACTTTCTGTGGCAAAGTGAAACATTTGTTAAGAAAATTTTGCCCCATTTTCTTAGCGCAGTTAAGTGAATCACTACAGTTGATAAGTTAGTAACATGGTTCTTAAGTGGATCTTAACCATCATAAATATGAGTCCAAGCATCTGGATTTTGATCACATTACCAAGAGGATGCTGCAATGGTCATTAAGTGTGAAAAATGGTCATAAGGCACTTTTTAAAACATGCCTTGCCATTGAAATCCATGACCAGATGTGATCTAAGGTTTTCTGCCAGGGTCCCTCCCCCCCCCCCTCTCTCCCTCTCTTCTGGCTCTACCTTTCCTCACTTACTTCATCTCTTTCTAGGATCCTGCAGCCTATGAAGACTCGGACTGCGATAGTGCCGAACTGGACAATTCAGGCAGTGGGGAAGTGCAGAGACTTCCAGACATACCGAATTTGTGATCTCCACTGCTTGGGGTTTCCTTTCCCAGGTTGTACAGTTCCCTCCTCCCTTCTCGGCCACCCTGCACCACCACCACCACCTTCTCCCCAGATATTTATATAAATAATTATAAAGCTCTATATAAATCTATATTATCTCATAATCTCTGGAAAGAGAGCCAGCACACCTCATTCCTCTCCTCAGTTCCTGCTCCCACATTTTCTCTGACCAGTTTGGGGGGGGGGATCGAGGGTCTCACCTTATTATCAGGGCTCACTGCTTTCAATGCTGGACAGCTGGAATGGAGGCAGCAACTGAACAGACTCTCCCCTTGGGCGGCCACTGGCCTCACAGCTCACCACTTGCTCGACGCACAGGAAGGCACTGATTCCTTCCACTTTGCTTCCTCCAAAGTCCCGAATGGTTTGGGAATTCAGCAGCAGAAGATCAGCCAGGCCTGATGGCCATCAGAACCCAAGGGATGAAGAGACGAGAGAGAGAGAGAGAGAGAGAGAGAGAGAGAGAGAGAGAGAGAGAGAGAGAGAGAGAGAGAGAGAGAGAGAGGCGGCTCAGGCTAAGAAACCGTGCTTTCATCTACCAGTGGAAAATGACAACGGTGCGCCAGGAGGCTGCAGGTCCCAGCTCTACCTCTTGACTGGATGATGTACATCGCCACCCGAAGGTCCTGAGTGCTTAAGCAGACTGTCTCTGAGATGGACTTGATGCCTGTTTGGGCCATAGTCAGCACGGAACCATTGTCCCAATGGGCAGCTTGGAAAGGAGCCATTTCCATCACCTTGTAGCTGTTCTCAGAAGCAACAACAAGACTAAAGGCCTCAACTCCCTCCCAGGCCCCCGTGTCTCTTCCCAATACATCATCCTCACCTTCTCCACGTCCAGTCATTCGGCAGACACACACACACACAAAACACACATACACAAACTCTCACACACACACACACACACACACACAAACACACACAGGCTTTCCTACCTTTGAGAAGGCCCACTCCTTTGGTTGAGATGGGAAAGCGGCCCCCTTCTGCTCTCTGCTGGCACCAAGATGCACTGCACTTTTTTGTGCTCGGTTTATTTATTTATTTTATTTATTTATTTATTATGAGAAATGTTTACATTTGCACTTATTGTGTGTGTTCCCATCTGAGGGAGGAAGCCAGGGAGGGGGGGAAGGAGAGGGAGCGCATAAGGGGCAGGAAGTGGGATTGGTGACATTTGTGACCTGTTGATGTTGAGCTGCCACCCTGCCTAAAAAGAGAAAGGGGAGTTGCTTGAATGTACACTTGTGTGGAAAAAACCAAACCAAACCAGCCGGTCCTCTTGGTTTCTCAGGTGAAAAAACTTGGCTTGGAGAATCATGTTGTGTTATTGCTCCCTTTTCAGTTCATTTGTTGCTTTAGAGGTGTTTGGTTAAAACCCCAGGGATGTGAGAGTCTAGTGCAGGGGTAGGCAACCTTGGCTCTTTTATGACTCGTGGACTTCAACTCCCAGAATTCCTGAGCCAGCCATGCTGAGGGGAAAGGGAGAGGTTTCCAAGCTGAGCCATGCTGGCTCAGGAATTCTGGGAGTTGAAGTCCACCAGTCCTAAAAGAGCCAAGGTTGCCTACCCCTGGTCTCGGTCAGGGCCAGGCTAAAAGCAAGTGTGGGCATAAACTTATTCAGAAATATTTTTTTCTCCCAGTGGAAGACTTGCAGGAAAAGGGGCACAGCAGCCAAAAATAAAAAAATAAAAATGTTGGAACCAATACAACTCTTTCCCCATTGCAACCAGCCAGCATGTGCTGGAAAGAGAGGTTCTCAAAAACTATTGTCAAAAGGAAATCTTATGAGGGGCAATTGGCTGTCTACCTATGATATTGGGTGTTCCTGTTGCCTCTGGCAGGAATGTGTTGGATTGCATTCAACCCTCAGGTGCCCTGGTGCTAGTCCTTTCCAGTTCAAAGGGGCCAAGCCTTAGGTGCTCAAGATGCTGTTCTTGCAGCGTGTTTGATGCTTATGTATCCATATATAGCCACAGGTGCTCCTTTCTCATAGATGAGGATCTTCAGTAACCCTGGGGGAGAATGTACTGCAATCACACACAAGCTTGGTGTAGGGCTAATTGCCTATGTTTCACATAGGCAATTAGAAATAGGGTTCCATATTTCTGGTAACAACCCCTTCCCGAACAAAAAGTTGCATTTTTTTTCCTGGGAAAATTGTATCTGAATAATTTGCCCATCAAGGTTTGATGGTGCTAGGTCAAGCAGAGTACTGGCAAACCGTATACTGTAAAGCAGTTTTATAACTCAAGAAATCCTGCCTTGGACCTGCTGCCAAGTCAGACATTATTACTGAATTAACTTCTGCAATATTGGGAGATGTGTGCGGACATCTCCCCTGGTCATCAGGGCAGGCTCTCAAACTCTATTTATGCAGTTACCACTGGTTTTTTTTGTTTTTGTTTTAAAAAAGTCTCCTCCATGTCAAGCTTGACTCATGGCAGCTTCTTAGTTACATCTGTGTACGGTTGGGTAGTTGGTTTTTTTGGCAACAAAAGAGAAATCCTTTGCCATTGTCTTCTGGGAGTCTATAAACGTTTTACTTTCCAGACTAGCCTATACTCTGGTGGACTCCTATTCAAATACTAATCAGGTTTCACACTCATTTTGGAGATCATCTTTTGGCCTCTGCAATATATTTTTTTTCCTCTTGTTTGAGCCTCCATTTAATCCTGAAATAATCCACACCTTCACTAGGCTAAGGATGATACCAACATACTCTTTTCATAACCTTAAAGGCATGGTAGAAGTTCAAGGGTGTCGCTAAATTTTGTGCAGCCGTTGCATTCCTGCTTAACACTAAAAACTGGTGCAAACTTTTGATGCAGAATTTATTCTCAGGGCTACCATATCTGAATAACCATTACATGGTAGCAAGGAAATGCAGCCTAACTATATGGAGACTTGAAAGAAATTCTACTACTAATTCAGGGGAAAACTGTAACTGTTTAACCCTGAGTTGGGGAGGAATGCACAGCACGAGGGACGTGCTTGAACCTTTATGAAATTCTGATTACATTTTCTTAGCTGGAAAGTGGAGGGTAGACTATCAGTTTTCTGATCCTAGATGGCTGCCTTGTCCTCCAAGCATGGATTTTTCTCAATAAGGGAAGAAAGGCAGTCAAAATTCTTAAATGCTTTTAATTTCTTTAGCTTAAGAAAAATGGGGTAACCTGGCAGAAGACACACCAAAAAGAACATGCTAGCCCCCTTTAAAAAGCCAGCCCTTGCAATAATTGGAGCAGCAGTGTTCATAGGCTATTACAAGTCAAGCATCTGTGAAGCAGGGCATGTAAATAGGGAGTGAATGCAGACTGTCAAGTCTAACTGGCAGAGAAATTACTTGGCCTGTTCCTTTAGGACTTCACAGACCAGAGTAAGAGGATGGTAGCTGGGCTGCAAAGATCCACATAACCATCACATAGCAACAATAACCCTCGAACAAAGGACTAGTGGAAATATTCTCTGTTCAAGTCATCCAGGCCTGGGTCCTTACTGTGAATCCTGTGCTTTGGACCTTTTCCAAAAAGCCACTAACTAGTTACTAAAAGAACAACTTAAAAGTTCAACTTGAACTTTTGCCTTTTCTATATGGCAGTCCTGACTTAAAGAACACATTCACAACCAGCAACTCAGTGGCTAAGTGAAAAGGTCCTTAAGCAAAACATCACGTGACTGTGCAGAACCTACAAGGCCACTTCCACTCCAGCTGTTAAGCAAATCACCTGCACTCCTTAAGCAAAATATTGCACGATCGCAACTTGCAATTTTGCTGCAGGCTGGCCGTGAAGCACGCAAATGATAATTGCCGTGACTTGTGGGATGCGCAGTGGTCATCCGAGTCACGGCCGGTCACAATATTACTTTTTCAACACCGTCATTGCTTCAGTCGTTAAACAGGACACAGTAAGTGAGGACTACCTATAAGAGCTGTTGGTGGTGCAGTGGTTAGAATGTAGTATTGCGGGCTAATTCTGCTGACTGCAAACTGCCGGCAGTTCGAATCTCAGCGGCTCAAGGTTGACTCAGCCTTTCATCCTTCCAAGGTCCGTAAAATGAGGACCCAGGTTGTTGGGGGCAATAGGCTCACTCTGTAAACTGCTGTAAAAGCACTGTGAAGTGGTATATAAGTCTAAATGCTATTACTCTAAGCTAGGCTTGATTGCTGGAGAGCAGTCTGGAGCAGGGGTCCTCAACTCCTGGGCCAAGGACCGGTCCTGGTCGGTGGCCTGTTAGGAACCAGGCCGCACATCTGGAGATGAGCGGCTGGTGAGCAGGCAAAGCTTCATCTGTACAGGTAGTCCTCGACTTACAACAGTTCATTTAGTGACCATTCAAAGTTACAATGGCACTGAAAAAAAGTGATTTATGACAGTTTTTCACTCTTATGACCACTGCAGCATCCCTATGGCCCCATGATCAAAATTCAGATGCTTGGCAACCGGTTCATACCATTGACGGTTGCCACATCCCGGGGCCAGGTGATCCCCTTTTGCAACCATCGTGCAAGCAAAGTCAATGGGGAAGCCAAATTCACTTAACAACAGTGTTACTAATTTAACAATGGCAGTGATTCGCCTAACGACTGTGGCAAAGAAAGGGCATAAAATGGGACAAAATTCATTTAACCAATGTTTCACTTAGCAACAGAAATGTTGGGCTCAATTATAGTCATAAGTGGAGGACTGCCTGTATTTGCAGCTGCTCTCCAGCGCTAGCATCAATGCCTCAGCTCTACCTCAGATCATTAGGCATTAGATCAGGGGTTCTCAACCTTGGCAACTTTAAGACTTGTGGACTTCAACTCCCAGAATTCCTCAGCCATCAAAGCTTTGCTGGCTGAGGAATTCTGGGAGTTGAAGTCCACAAATCTTAAAGTTGCCAAGGTTGAGAACCCCTGCCTTAGATTCTTACAGGAACGCAAACCCTACAATAAACTGTGCATGTGAGGGATCTACGTTGTGTATTCCTCCTCCCCCTCTCCCAGTCGTGGAAAAAATTGTCTTCCAGGAAGCTGGTCCCTGGTGCCAAAAGGCTGCTGTAGAGAAGCATTTGTCAGTGCTTTTTTCCATGATGTTTTTCAGCTTCCCATTTTGAGAGTCCGGGGGTTTCCTGGAGAGCATCCATCCAAATACTAACCAGATCTCTGCCTGCTTAGCTTCTGAACCCAAACAAGATCAGGCAAAGGATGCCACCTGCTGAAAAGCAAGAAATATAGCCAAGCCAACAAATGAATCTTTGGCGACTGGCAGCTCCCAGTGAATTCACATTCAGTAGCACACCAATGTTCTCTAGCTCTAGTGGACAGAGGCAGACACTCCTCTGTCCACGGCTGTCCTCCTCTGGGCAATACTAAAATCAAATTCCAGCTTCCTAGCTCTACAGGAGCTCCACCAGCTAAATGGTAATAACCTTAGAAGCAGGAGAATAAAGATTTAAGACTCCGGGAGAATGTGAAGATGTGAAATTGCAGGTCTAACTGCTTCTCTAACCTTTCAAATAGAAATTCTTGACTGAAGAAATTTATCAAACTCGTGAAAGTTAGAAAGAACCAGGTTCAACACCACCGTACGTCCTTGTGCCTCCCTGCTGACTAGCTCAAACAGGTGGTTTAAGTTTGGAAAATGTAAGAATTTTCACATAATTTAAGAGCTTCCCGTTTCAATTTCCTTTGTGCAGAAGGGGTCAGCATGGGTCATTTTGTGCTCCCTGTACATCTACCCAAAAGATCTTGTGGCTAGAGAAAACAGCCTGTCTTCCAAGCATTGTTATCCGATGTCTTCTTGGCAAGACTACAGCATCAAGTGTAATTTTGAGGCAAGTTCTAATCAAAATTAAAAGGGCCCTCTGCTGACTATATTTAATGTTTCTTGCGGATACTTCTTAAAAATACTTTTAACAGCATGACAGGAGTTAGGCAAAAAAAAAAAAAAATTAGTTTCCCACCACTTCAGCATGATAGGCATTTTTCTATTTGTTTCAATCAGACACCCAATGTTTTTGTGCCCGTGCTACAAAACAATTGAGAAAGAAGCCCTGTGCACTTTTCACCATATATGTTTGGCTTCCCCTAGTTACAAATGTGGCAAATTAAATTAGAGACAACGGCTGGACATGCATCAAAGACTCCATTTCACCCTGAATATACAGCTGGGGGAGGGTGAGGGAAAGATAGATATGGCTAGCTAGTATACTTGCAAGAATTAACACAACTGGTGTGGTCCTTCTTTCTTGCACTCAGAAAACACAACTAGATTCATTCAACAGCTTTACAGATCAATTCATCCTTAGATTTTCAGTCACAAATGACACTTCTGTGGAAATGATGAAAAGAGATGTCGTTTTCCATCCTCTCTTCCTTAGGTGTCTTATGAACTTGATAGACTGAAGCCAAAAGTGATTAGCCTGAACAAATAGGCCAGGGCAATTGGATTCTTATTGCAGCTCAGTTTTACATCAGGTAGCCCTTTTGATTTGATCCACGCAAGGTCATTTGGTAAGGTAACAGTAGTGAGAAAGCTCAAATGTGGGTAGAAATCTCAAGCAAAATTAAAACCAGAATTCCGCATCAAACCCTTGTAAATATATATCAAGTCCTGCAGAATGTATCTCCTATCGCTGGCCAATTTCAGTGCTGATAAATTAGCATTTTTATATTTCATGTACAGCCAGTAGAAGCCACAATTATGTAAAAGTTTATTGCGGTTACCGACTCCTTTATGTGAGGGTGAGCCACCTTGGGAATGGGTTAAACCAATCTTGCCCAACTGGTAGCCTCTGGAATTCGCAGCCTGCCTCTGTAAAATGGAGCTGTAATTCAATTGTGGGCAACATGCTCCAAATTTATGAAGTCAAATACTGGTGCTTCAGATAGCCCTGCTAAGAAAAGTTATGTTTGGAAAAATGTGGTTAAGAAAAAAAATCAACACTGGACTTGATTTTCCAACTGTAAAAATTAATATACCAAAAACAGGTCTCCCAATCTGCAAATCAAAACTCTCAAAAATAGGAAATGAAAGGGAAATAACACTTCTTACAAACTCTCTCCCTCACTGAAAGCCAAACTCCTGGCAGATGTTATAGTTTTTTTTAGAGCAGGTTAAAATGATTCTGTCCTTTGTTAACACACTTAAATCTGTTGTAAAATCCAGGGTTTCTGTTCAGGCTCCTTATGGCTGTATTCATTCCCTTGCCAGCATAAAGCCTCTGTAGAAACGCTGCACATATGCAGCAAGCATGATGTTAAAGACACTTTGACCTCTCCCAGCTCAGTTTGTCATTCTTCCTGTGGAAGGCAAGTCTTCAATCCCTTAGATATAGCCATACTTCCTACCACTTTGGATCTGTGCGTTCCCTATTCTTGTTTTTAACATCTACCCTTGTAAGATAGATCATAACTGTATGGAACTAACATTGCTTAGATGAATAATGGCGCTGCGGATTTCAATTAAAGACCATTTTGTATTCAGTGTTGGCATAATATAGCCCTTCGTTTTGTTTGTACTTCCAAATGCAATATAGTGTGTATGCGAGAGTAAATCTGAAACATGCCCCCCTCTTTACATCTATTTTCTCAACGTGACCAGAGCTCCCCATTCTAAGGATTCCAGCTTTCATTTATTAAATTGCTCTTAAGGACATTTCTATTCCTTAAGGATGCACAAAAGTGTGTTTGAAAGGGAATGTGTAATGCCTACTAAAAATTCAGAAGCCAAAGAAGTTTAATATAATTGTAAATGACTATTGTTGGATTTCTGCAGTTTCTTTATCTCCACCAGCAAGCAAACAAGAGAAAATTACACTAATTAACACCCAAATGTCTCCCCTGCTACAGCCTAAACACCTAAGTGCAAATATGAGTATAGGTCTTCAATATATTTTACTAACAAAAGTATTTTTAAAACATCCAGACACACTCTGGAGTTCGCTAGGGTTAAAGGGATTTCTGGATGCTGTTGAGCCCCCATGTTTGCTAAAGCTACTTGGTTTCTGAAATATACTAAGTTAAAGTTAATATAGTTTAAAACAAGTGCTTCCTTATTGCACAGACTACACTATAGTACTCTTGGCTCAACTGATATACAATACCGTAAATGCCAGCGTATAAGGCGACTTCCGCAAGCGCTGAAATCGGCGCCAAAGACAGGGGTCGTCTTATACACTGAGTCGTCTTATACGCCGGAAATACTGGTAGTTTCCGGCATATAAGACGACGTTCTAGGAATGCGGCCCGGCGATAAAGACAGGGGTCGTCTTATACGCCGGGTCACCTTGTACGCCGGCATATATGGTATAATATTGTTCTGATAATAGAATTGCTTAGCCTTTGCAAGCAAATGCCCAGAGTGCAGAAAATTTGAGTTGTAACGTCAAACTATTAAAAGAGTTCTATACAAGTGTACACAATTTTTGCTACAACCCAAGGCAATTGCCATTCCAATCTTGTTAGATTTGTAATGTGATTTCAAGGTTGTCTCCATAACCGCAAGAAATCAAGTTGTTAACAGTCATTTGTAATGGCAGTTGCTGCTGTTTTATTTTGAAGACATTAGGAAACTTAGCTACTGCATCTAGCTATTTCTCACAAACTGTGTAGTTAAGAGCAGGGAGATAGAAAATCAAACAGCCTAAATGTAGTCCTTTTGAAGAGTTGCTGTAGGGGTGTAGGCAGCCTTCATTTACTCACCTGTTTAGTGTAATTGCCGGCAACTGAAACTAGCTAGCTTCCCTCTCCTTTTAGCTAGGTCAAAAGCAGAGCAGGTCTTAAGCATATTTTAAGGCCTCCAGATGGGATGGGTCTTCTGCTGATATTTATTTTTATTTATTAAATTTGTTCAATGTCACAAAGTAACATATTAAGGACAGTTCCACTGAGTATCACTATTTTTTACATCTGTCCAAATAGGTAAGATCTGAATGTTTCCTAGTGCAAAACCTGTATCTTGCAAATACAAATGTATTTCAGGAAAGTAAAATACAACTTACAACTAAAATATTAAACACTTGAGTTTAGCTCCAGTATCTACATCTAACTCTTTCCAACAATTGCTACAGCTTTCCTTGCTCCATTAACCAAACACCAGCAAAAAAGCAGAGAGCTCCAGTTACTGTTGGACAGACTACTGTTTGAAATGTAATGGTGATATAGAGTACTAGTTTGAGAAAATCAAAAGAAGAGCTACTTGTTGTCATGTCACCATAAAGTCTTTTGCAGAACTGCAAGAGGAGGATCTTGCCAATTGTCTCATTGGTAGAGGACCAACAGAAGCCCAATGCTGACTTAAACGTTCTTAATATCTGGTTAAAATTTTTACATGATTTACACAATAGGTTTTGTGCAACTTCTGCAAGTTTTGCATATTCATGTAGCCCAACACTTGGCAGAGTGATGTTGTGAGGAAGCAGAACTATAGTTTTATCTCTCATAAAAATGTAACTTGAGTAATAATAATGCAAATTTTTCATAATTAACTTATTTTCTTGTATCTTGAGAAGTACTGTGTTTTGTTTAATCCTGCAGTTTGAGAGCTTCTCAAAAACACTGAAGAAATGTAGGCTACAGGCAAACTTTTCAAAAATATGCACTTCACTAATCTGGTTTATGCCAAAACAATCAGATAAGTATACTACATATATTTTGCAAAACTGATAGGTCATTTTCAGAAATGTCCATAGTTTTTTGCTACTGACTTTTCTTGATAGGAATTTAAATTCAAAAAAGTTGGAGGGTTACAGTTTGCCTCCATCTGTTCGATTATAATACTTACATTCTAAAACAAGGGTCTTCAAACTTGGCCCTTTTATGACTTGTGG